CTAACAACTCTATGAGGGTATTATCCCCAAAGCAAAGGTTAACAAACTGAAGAACAGAAAGGCTAAATAAACTTTCCCAAATTAACACATCTACTAACATTTGACAAAAAAATGAGTCATGTCTTTCTGACTCCAGGACCTGAGATATATGTTGATATGCATATTAGTGGGTATGTCAAGTAATAACCATCTTACAATTCAAGCAAGTGCCATAAATCACTCAAGAACCTGAGATAAGGCACCAGTGAAAGTTTTGTTCAAGAAAATGTTGACATTTTAGTGTCATTAGAAAAAGAGCTGACTTTTCTATAAAAGCAAAATAACATATTCCACACATTTTGAGATAACGTTTGATCATAGTCCTTTGCACTCTACTGAGAAAAAAAAAAAGTCATTTAGATGGTGAAATCTGAACTGTGAAATGTAACTGAAAAACAATCCTGGTTATAAAATCTCTCTCTCAAGTTACTTATGAAAATTTTTGAAACTCCCCACCGTAAGACACTTGTGTTAGTAGATCAAGTTTTATCACATATGACAAAATGGTGTTTGAGTGTGAAGGGAATGGAGAAGAAGGGACTTGGAGAAAGGACAGAAGGAATATGTATCAGAAGGAAAACTGGTTAGAAAAATAACAGAGGAAGATAGAATTGCCTCCTAGATATCAAAGGAAGAGACATGGGGAAGTCTCTCCCTGAGAAAATTTCAGATGACAGGCAGCGTCTGCTGAAAAGTTTCAGAGAAGGCGGGAGACCCAAATACAATTGCCTAGATTGTTAACCACAGATGCAGCCCACAACCCAGAAAGAACAGGGCTTAGGACAATGACACGGGTGCTCCTCAATGAGACTGTCCTCAATGTTGTACCCCTGACGAGCACCCCTGCAGTGCTGCCCAAACTCGCAGAAGAAGGTGAAAATCTGTGACTCCTTGGGAACACAAGGAGCCCACAGCCAGGAAAAGGGCCCTGAGATAAACACCTGGTTAAAAGTCTAGAGACGTGGTCCTTTGGGTCAATAAATTGACAACTTCTAAAATGAGCAGGAACACACATCATATTAACTCCTTGCGTTAGTTATTGTTTCAATCAATTGAATGGGGTTTGGGGAGGTGGAGGTGGAAGATGGCACACAGGAGATAAATTCTGATGGCAAAACNCACGGTGTTTGGGGAGGTGGAGGTGGAAGATGGCACACAGGAGATAAATTCTGATGGCAAAACAATCATCAAAAAGCAAACTTTCTAATCACAAGATGCTCTGCAGTCCACGGTCTCAGGCTTAGGTGGTCAAAAGGCATGAGGCGCTTTTTGAAATGTTCAAATAGCATCCCCAAGTCCCCTTCCCAAAGAACTTTCCCTTGGGCCTCCCTGTCACCAGTCTCAGCTGCTTCAAAATGTGACAACTGCCCTGGCCAGTTTGGCTCCATGGCTAGAGCATCTGCCTGGGGACTGAAGAGTCCTGGGTTCTATTTCGGCCAAGGGCACGTACCTGTGTTTTGGGTTGCATCCCTGGCTCAGTCGGGAGTCAAACAATTGATGTGTCTCTCTCACAGTTGTGTGTGTGTCTCTCTCTCTCTTCCCCTCTTACTCTTTTTGAGAAGCACTGGAAAAAATGTCCTCAGATGATGATTAAAAAAAAAAAAAAAGACAACTTACCCAGGAGGGTTTTCTGCTCCATGAAATGGTATCTGCCTCAAAGCATGGGCTATACTGATAGTGCTGCGCCAACACTGGCTTTAGAGTCAGAATTTCAGAGCTTAAAGGGATCTTGTAAGTCACATAGTACAACTCTCTGGGGTCTGGAGGTTAAGTGACTTCCTTGAGGTCACCAGACTAAGCAGTGGAGAATCAGATATATTAAGCCAAGTTTGCTGGTGCCTCGTACTCAATCTGCCTGTGCTGTGTTGGAAGAACTGGTATCAGGGAATCCTCTCCCAAAGAGATCAGGTGAAAGATAAGCTCTTTGCCTGGGCTGCCCTATTCCCCAGACTATTTAGGAAGCTCCTTGTGTAACTTGGGTAAGTGATGCTCTAGGTAGTTTCATGTAGTTGGGCTGGCAGATTTCTCTCGAATTTCACTTCCTGCTAGAAATGCAGGAGTCTCAGCACTAGACATTCAATTTACCACAGTTCAAGCACATGAGTCAGGATAACATTTATGGGAAGGAGGTTTTTAAAAATGTCATCATGTGTACTTAACTGGGGTTTGATTTATCTTTTAGCCCTCACCAAGGATATTTGTTCATTGCTTTTCAGGGAACATGGAAGGGAGAGACAGAGAGAAACATCGATGTGAGAGAGGCACATTAATTCGTTGCCTCTTTCACATTCCCAGACCAGTGCCGGGGAATCAAGCCTGCAAACAAGGTCATGCCCTTTACCAGGATTCAAACCCGAGACTGTTCAGTTGGCAGGCCAACCCTCTAAACACTGACCCTAACCAGCGGGGACATGTGTACCTCTTCGAATGGCTAAAATCCAAAACACTAACACCACCCAATGCTGGAGAGAACTTGGAGCAACAGGAATGCTTATTTATTGCAGGTGGAAATGCAAACCAGCGCAGCCACTTTAGATAAGAGTTTGGCAGTTTCTAACAAAGCTAAACAGACTCTTACCCAACAAAACAATGAGCATGCTCTTTGGTTATTTGCCCAAAGGAGATGAAAGCTTATTTCCACACAAAACCTGCACATGGATGTTTATAGCAATTTACTTGTAATTGCCCAAACTCTGAAGCAGCAAAGATGTCCCTCAGTAGCTGGTTAATAAATAAAGAGTGGTGCATGCAGACAATGGAATACTAATCAGTGTTGAAAAGAAGAGCTATGGAGCCATGAAAAGATGAGGAAGAACCTTAAGTACACATTGCTGAGTGAAAGAAGCCAGTCTGAAAAAAATACAGACTGTATGATTCTAACTAGATGACATTCTGGGAAAGGCAAAATTAGAGAGACAGTAAATAGGTTAGTAGCTACCATGGGTACAAGAGGTGGTTAGGAGGGTTGAATAGATGGAACAAAGGTCATTGTTAGGATGGTACAATTACTCCCCGTGATACTGTCATGTCAGATCCAGGCATGAATCTGTGAAAAGCCACAGTGAACCCTCAGGTAAACTACAGACTTCAGATAATCATGATGCATTGATATTGGTTCATCCATTGTAACAAGTAGAACACACGAAAGCAAGATGTTAATAATACAGGACACAGTGCTGGAGAGAGTGGGTAAGTGGGGTTTCTTTATGCTCAACTTCTCTTGGAGCACAAAACTGCTCTAAAAAATAAAGGCTATTTTTTTAAAAGTAAACACAAGAATCTGGGTTGAATTCAACATAAATTGTTATTATGTTGATATATTTCTTGCTGTCATAAATTTCCAACGGAAAATTTTCTCATCGTTCAATCCAAGTCACTGAGGCCAGGTCCAAGGCTCCTGACTCACTATCCAGTGATTCAACAAATGCTGTTTAAGCACAAGTCCATGCCTTTGTGGACAGTGCATTCTCCTGACAGCCTCACACATTTATGTTTGCCTGACATACTAGATAGTGTTTTAAAATGTTCCATGTGTTAATTCATTTAACACAATGAAACTTCAAGGAATGGGATATTCCTATCATCCATAAACAAATGTCAAAACTCAGGCTCCAAGAGGCTCAGTCACCTGCCCATAGTTATACAGACAGGAAGGTGTAGAAAAAACTGAGATCTGACTCCAGGCCACGGGGCTCCAAAACAAGTGCCCATCACCCCTGTACCATGGCAGATAAAAGTAAGGTAAAACTGAGGAATCCAAAGAGTGATTTCAGTTCTTCCAAAAAGCCCACAACTCGGTGGCAGAAACTAAGGAAACAAAAATGAACAGAATAAAATTAAATGCCCCAGGAATTCACTATGAACTAGCAATTGGCCCTGTGTGAAAGGGCTGGGAAGAGTAAGGAGGAAGCCTAAGTGAGACCCTTGGAGGTCACACTTCCCAGGAAGACTTCAGCTAAAAGATCCTTAATGGCAGAAGGTGGAGCAAAAAGGCTTTGGGAGAACTGAAGCTGGTTTGATAAACCCACCTGCATGTNGGAAAAAACTGAGATCTGACTCCAGGCCACGTGGCTCCAAAACAAGTGCCCATCACCCCCGTACCATGGCAGATAAAAGTAAGGTAAAACTGAGGAATCCAAAGAGTGACTTCAGTTCTTCCAAAAAGCCCACAACTTGGTGGCAGAAACTAAGGAAACAAAAATGAACAAAATAAAATTAAATGCCCCAGGAATTCACTATGAACTAGCAATTGGCCCTGTGAGAAAGGGCTGGGAAGAGCAAGAAGGAAGCCTCAGTGAGACCCTTGGAGGTCACACTTCCCAGGAAGACTTCAGCTAAAAGATCCTTAATGGCAGAAGGTGGAGCAAAAAGGCTTTTGGAGAACTGAAGCTGGTTTGATAAACCCACCTGCATGTAAGGAAATGGTCCAAGGTCAGGCTTGCCTTGGTCAGATCAGAGACATTCCATACCAGGTGTTCTCCAGGTGTTGACCCTGGACCAGCAGCATAACCTGGGAACTTGATACTATGTAAATTCTCAGGTGTCTTTTTCCTAAAACTCCAGTTTTTGTGCTTGTTTTTTTAAATCCTCACCATAGAATTTTTTTATTGATTTTAGAGACATAAAGAGAAAACATCAATGTGAGAGAAAAACATCCATTGGTTGCCTCTTGTACATGCCCCAATCAGGGATCAATCCACAACCTAGGTATCTGCCCTGACAGGGAATCGAATTTACAGCCTTATGGTGTATGGGTCAATGCTCCAACAAACCGAGACACACAGCCAGGGCTAAAACTCCAGGTTTTATAATCCAACCACAATGTGGCTTTCCTCAAAGATTAAATTTCTAACATTGCACTGGATCTGATAATAAGTTTGGTCTTGTTTCCGGGGTCTGAATACCATGCTTATCTTAGAAACAGACCCAACAGCAGTTTCAAGCCAGGATGTTAGTCTTACCTGTGAAGGCGTTCATAAAAGTGGAGAGCGACCTGTTCAACATTTTGAAGAAAGGATCTCTGCATGGGTATTTCTGAGAGCCACACAGAACTGTGTGCTCAAGAATGTGCGGGACTCCGGTACTGTCCATGGCCGTGGTTCGAAACTGCAGGCTACAGCCAGAAAAGAGCCACGATGGGGCATGTTAGCTCACAGGGTCCAATAGCTTCCAAATGTGCCATCAGCTTGGATTACTGCAATTCACCATTTGAACATGGTAATCTCTCACAAAAATGTTTGCCAACTATAATGTACAGAATCACTGACTGCAACTGTCAACTTTACACAGCAGAGAACGTCAAGTCACTTTATTTTGTCTTTATATTTTCAGGGCACTGTCAGTACCATTACTTTAAACTATGGTGATGGCTCTAAGAAGAAACGTTTAAGAACGTGTTTTCAGGGTGCCCACTCACCTGAACAGGTTATTCGTGTCTTCTCGGGCCAGGTGCAAGTATCTCGCTCCTGTGCCATCATGGCTGAGCTTCACGGCGGTCAGGAACAGTTCAGGGACAGGCGATACCTGAATCAACAAGAACATGAGGCTAAACTCAAATGGAAAGGCATCCAGAACAGTTACGCTAAATCCACTACGGGACCTGGCTCGTCTGCCTTAAACTAGGACAATACTGCAACACCAGCCTGTGGGTCCTGGAGGCACCTGTCCAAATCCCAAATCTTACCCATGAGGAAAGTAAGAGCTAGGCTGACAATGGTACACACTTTTCCTTTTTAGCATGCTTACTATTTACCAGACATTTTCTAAACAGCTCATGGTCACCCAGTGAGGGAGCTGTTCTCACCCATTACAGATGAAAACACTGAGGCTCAGAAAGAGAACCACTCTTCAAGATTCAGACCCCTTCTGTCACACCAGGCCACCAGAGGAATGAGGGCTCTCGCTTGGGATGTCAGAATGACACAGCATAGGGACTTGGATCCGAAAATAGAAAATACCAGGTGGCCAGGAAGCCAAGTTAAACCAGGGATTCAGAAGGTACTGGGATAAGCTGACCATAAGAATGTCACCACCTCTCTACTCCCTACTCAAAACTCAGAGATAGCTGATTTTACCCCCCCTCCTAACTGCCTATGTAAACCACTGACCCACATGACCAGTTATCTAAGTTTGATCGCTCTATGACCTTCCTAGGGAGGTACAAGCAATGAGCAGTCTGCCCTCTTGCCTTTACAGTGCAGGAGTGGAGATAGCTGCCAAGAAACCTGACAGGAGGAAGTCACCTGACCTTGACTGGAAAATTCCACAAGTCAGCCTTTTTGCCCAAGCCCACTTTGTACCCAGTTTATAAAAGCTGCCAAGCAGTGCCAGCTCCAGAGCCCGTTCAGAGGGCTTTCCGTTCCACTGTGCTCCCTCCCTTGTGCTCAAGCATAAGCTTATTAAAATCTGTCTGGAAATTTCTCTGGGGTTTCCTCTCAAGTTCTATCTTGAGGAGCCCAAGAACCCCAATGTGGTAACAAGAACAATTCTCAGGTAAATGCTGGAATGGGCCTTAGTCTGGGGCAGCAGGGATGCTTGGGGACTGGCTTGGTCTCATCTACTTTGTGAGAAGTTCCCAGCACTGAGGTGGGAATGTCACCAGTTGCTTGTTCCTAATGGGAGGGTCCAGGATGGTACAATAAAAAGAAACACACCCTCCCAGAAGGTGGTCATCTCTTTCTGTGTCAGCCTTCATGAAAATCTCCACAGTCCTCAGTACAGAAGCTGCCCTCTCATCCACCTGTGCTGGAGCCCCTCTCCTTCAATCACGACACGTGTCACAGTGACACTCACACCGCTATCTCGCCACTTTTCAGAGGCTGTGACAGTAACTTTTCCACATTGACACAGCAAGTTACTAGGAGGGCAGAGTTTAGAACTGGGGGGGGCCAGAGCCATAATTTATAGCTATTACATTATTTATATCTCAGAACTTACTGTACTTTGTAAGAGATGATCAATGTGTTAGATCACTTAGTACAGTGAGATGTCTGCCTCGTAACAGCTTTCATGGTAACTATTTCCCGAACAAAGATGACATGGTTTCTCATAGCTTCTGATATCATTGTAATTAACCTCATTATTAACAACAGGAAGGGAGCTAAGGAAGGCCAAACAGTATAGACATGCCATTGTGCAGTTTTGCCAGGAAACTGCAGTTTCATACTCTCCAGGAAGCCACCAGTCTATTCCCTGCAGATGGCTGGGGAAGGGTCTGGACAGGAGGTGAACAGAGGCATGCCCAGTAAAGTCTGGGTGAAACAGGGAAGGTACTTGCCTGTCAGTCACACCTGGTAACCAGTCACTGGCAAGAATAGGTGTGGCTACTTTAAGGTGAAAAATTTGAAAAATTTAATCCCCAAAACAAGGGACCCTCAAAATCATTTGGTCTGGTCCTGCCAAGGCAGCCGCAGGCAGGACTCAAAATTCAATAAATCTAGGAGTTTTTTTTCATAGCTAATTCTTAAGTTCATAATTTTGTATGGCCATGAATGGGACTGTCATCATAAATATCCAAATGGCCCTTGGCAGAAAAAAGGTTCCCAGGCCTAAACAAAAGAACTTACTCTCTCTTGAGGTCTTGGTTAACACTCTCTTGGCTCCTGGCCCTTGGGCTTGCTCTTGGTTCTCTTGGGACTCTTACTGAAAAGGGTGCACTCTCTTGGCTCCCCTGTATTTGCTCACAAGGCCCACAACCATGTGGACCCCATCACAAGGGACTAATGAACTGCCATTAAACTAATGCTAAACCAGACCCAATTCCAACATGGAATGAAAACTTTGGACACTGGGTTTGTTTTTTAGCTCTACTGCATCCCCAGCTGCATTTCTTCTAGGACTGGAGTAAGGGAAATGGGACTTTGGAAACCCACGGATGTAATTCCACGCAAATAAAAATCACTCATCCCCCCATGCAAGTCTCAGAAAATTCTTTTTCTCAAGATACTGTAAGGACTCCAACCCCAATACTAAGTGGAAAAAAGGATACCCCACTTCCACTGATAACATTTCCATAAAACTTGAAAAATAATAGAAGACAGAGGTTTGAGGAACCTAATCATTTCACAATACATGTAAATCAAACCATCATGCTGTACACCTTAAGCTTGGACAGTGATGGATGTCAATTATTTCTAAAATGAAACGGGGGTGGGGAATAACCTTGAAAAATAAAAGAACCCACTCTTCTGAATAAAGCGCTCATGACCATACTGAGTAGGAATCCTAATCCCTTTGCANAAAACTGGGGGTGGAGAATAACCTTGAAAAATAAAAGAACCCACTCTTCTGAATAAAGCGCTCATGACCATACTGAGTAGGAATCCTAATCCCTTTGCATGGCTTTTAGGGTTCACCCTGTCATGACTCACCATTCCAGGACTTTGCTTTGCAGCAGACCTGCATCATTGGCTCTACCTATGTTGCCCTACAGAATGATGGTAACTTTCCTTCTGAACTTAACCAGCCCCTTTTCTCTATAAACACCTCCTTCTCCAGGAACTTTCCCATCCTGCCACTGAGCAGCCACCCTCTCCTCCTGCCTTCCTTTTGATCTCTGCAATTCCATCAGGAATTTGTCACACTATTTCTGTATTATGGTAGAACAGATCCTCTAGCATGTGATCTGCTTGCCTTTGTCTGTGTCAGCATGTCAAGCACAGTAGGAAGCCAACAACCAGCCCATTATGTGAAGCACATATTTCTCAATTATTGCACTAAGGAAAAAAAGAAATTCAAAAGTTTAAGCAAATCAAGAACAAAATTAAAACCCATTTTAACATAAGTGAATATAGAACCACAATCTCTTTCCCATAATTCTGAAACTCAAATGGCTCAAGAAAAGAAAGTTTGGGGTATGTTACAGCAAACTCATTTGATGGTAAAACTTGACCTCAATGGATGTGGGCACTCATAGTCTTCAGGTATCACACTCAGTGTGGACTGTCAGATGTCAGCGTGCAGAAACATTAATGAGTTTGACTTACTTTCTACAAATCTGAAGGGGTTCAGNAAATATAGAACAACAATCTCTTTCCCATAATTCTGAAACCCAAATGGCTCAAAAAAAGAAAGNGAATATAGAACCACAATCTCTTTCCCATAATTCTGAAACTCAAATGGCTCAAGAAAAGAAAGTTTGGGGTATGTTACAGCAAACTCATTTGATGGTAAAACTTGACCTCAATGGATGTGGGCACTCATAGTCTTCAGGTATCACACTCAGTGTGGACTGTCAGATGTCAGCGTGCAGAAACATTAATGAGTTTGACTTACTTTCTACAAATCTGAAGGGGTTCAGGGAAAGGATTGATTGGGAACCTAGGTAGGAAGTCCTTTCATTTACAAACTCCACTCACTTGAGCACCTAACAGTGAAGCAGGAGGAAGCCAGGTCCCTCAGAAAACAGACGAAAGCAGATCAGGGGTCTACCCTAAAGGCCCTCACATGCTCTCACTGAAGTAGTAGGTCAGGCCTTACCTGGCTCACAGTGAATCCATGGATCGTCTTTCCAACCTGGTATTGCAACGCCCTCTCACAGGCTTTGGTGCTACTCCATCTCCCCGCTCGGAGGTCGGCACTGCTACGTTTATGGAAAGTCATCAAAGGTAGAGGCCTTGCAGGGAAACTGGCTCACACAGTTTGGCAACATAATGAAAACACTGTCATATGACAAAGATAATTCCAAGAAACATTAAACCTTGCATCTTCCAAACACACTCCAGAAAACTAATTTCTAGCAAAGTTCCTTCAATTTTAATGATCTTTTATGTCAACTCAGCTAAAGCTTGTAACAACAACTAATAATTAACCACTGGAAACCTTTACTTATATAGGTCCATAAATAACTATAATTATGACACAATTTCCCTTAGTTGCATTAAAAACTCTCATGTCAAAATGTTTTTGTCCATCACAGTATCTCAATAAACTCAAACTACAGTGAAGTCCAATGACACACCTACCAAATGGGGAAAAGTAAGAAGTATAGTATTACCCAAAACTCTCACAATGCTACTGGGAGTGAAAACTGGAACAGCGACTATGAAACAGCAGTTGGCATTNTTTAGCATTATTGAGACAGCAGTTCACTCACCCTGACATGCAGGGATCCGTTTTTCAAAGTTCGCCTTCTGCCACTTCACTTTAGGAGACCTACACAGTACCTGTTTCACTAACCAGAAGAAATTCCAAAGGGATTTTTGTGTTTTTTTTTTGGAAAACTCTTAATTGGATAGCATCCTGCCTTTGTTCTGCAGGACCCATTACAGAGGCAGCAAGCAGGGAGAGTGGCCCCACCAAGCTCCTTTCCTGGGAAACACTCAGTATCTCAGCATCATGTCACCAGAGCTTTGAGCTGTGTCTGTGAGCATCTATACTCGACTTATTTTGTGCATTCTGGCTTTTATTATGTTAGTGTTATTTTAGGTTTTATGTGTTAATTGGTACAATTTAGTCGGTTATTTTGGGGGTTTGGGACAGCTCAAAAATTTTCCACATGAATTAATGGTAACTGCTTTTTGCTTTATGCCATTTTGGCTTAGAAAAAGTTTCACAGGAACGTTCTACTTTAGGACCGTGGGAGAAACCTGTAGATGTCCTGGAAACCAGGACTGGAGCATCAGCACACATATATAACAAGGTTGGCACCATTCCTGAGTCCACCAACCCAGATGTCCACTATCAGAAAATGGATAAATTGTGCACTATTTAAACAATAAACTCAGCAACAAGAACAGATTACAACTACATGACACAAAAATGTGGGTCAACTAATGCTGAACCAAAATATAAAAATACAAAGGATAAAAACAGTGTTCTTCTAAACAGGTATTGTTCAAACAGGTAATACTGGATTGTAGGAGTGTATATAGATGGTAAAACTATATATATAGGAAAGCAAGGAGCTACTTTCTGTAAACCAGGAGAGAGATTACATCTAAAGAGGGAGGGAGAGTTATGACCAATTAATGGCAATTTTAAACTGGGTAATGGTGACACAACTGATTTTTAAATAAATTTTTCTCAACTGTATTATGTGTTTATGGGATTTTCTACATTAATATATGTGACAAAAATATTTCTTTTAAAGATATGTACAGAGAAGAAAAAATACTCAGTCACTATCAGGCAATATTATGGAGATGCTATCATCAGCCAACATTTCCTTGTTGATTTAGCAAATTCTAGAATTGTGGGATATTTTAATAAGTTATTTACCATCGAGAACCCAACTACCAAAAGCAAAAACAGCCAAGTGTATGACTGTCACGGCCAACATGGGCTCTCCTCCCATACACTTTCTGGTAGCCAACTACACAGATGAACAATGCTCCAACACCAGAGGACACCCAAACACACACTCCTTTATATCTCACCTGTGCTAACAGCACCATTAATTAAACAAGGTTTTGTGAATTAGCACGAAANCAACACATACTCCTTTATTTCTCACCTGTGCTAACAGCACCATTAATTAAACAAGGTTTTGTGAATTAGCACGAAACTAAACTTAGCTTTTTTAAATAAGTAAAATGTTTACAAACTCCTAGGATATGACACTCATTCACCCTTGAAAACTAAATGTAATCTTTTTCCATAAATATAGTCATTTGTAAAAGTTCAAATCNTGAAACTAAACTTAGCTTTTTAAAATAAGTAAAATGTTCTACTTCACAAACTCGTAGGATATGACACTCATTCACTATTGAAAGCTAAATGTAATCTTTTTCCATAAATATAGTCATTTGTAAAAGTTCAAATCCTGGAGGCTACAATTTTATTAAAACATAGCAGCTTAAATTTAAGTACTTCCCGTGGAAGCCTGAGGTATCTTAAGGACTCTAGGCCCACAACAAAAAAAGGGGGGCAAACGTATTAATGGGACCCACAAACTTCCAGTGACTTTCATCATACATATTAAACCCACATCAATGACCACCTTCANATATCTTAAGGACTCTAGGACCACAACAACAAAAGGGGCAAACATATTAATGGGACCCATAAACATCCAGTGACTTTCATCATACATATTAAACCCACATCAATGACCACCTTCACTTCAAAAGCCTTGACAATCTGCACACAGGGCCACCCACTAAGGTCCCAGAGGGAAATGGGGTCACAGGACAGCTCCGTGGTCCTGGCCTGCTTTACTCCACAGGCTTATCTCCCTGCATCACCCCAAACCTGGTTCCTGGACAGGAACTCCCTCCCTTGGGGTGGGGTGGGGGATAGGTTACTGGGCAGGAGAAGCCATGGGCGCGGGGCAGCAGTCCCATCAGGAGGGACTAAGAGGATCTGTCACCCAGGCCCTGAAAGGGTTTTCAGGCTGGGGTCCTGGCTCTTGGAGTCTAGCAGCCCCACATGAGGTGGTCTAAGGTTACTGGGGGCAGGGATGTGTATCTCGGGGTACAAGAGCGTCAGTAGAGATGTCTCAGGGTACAGGAGCCACAGGAGCAGAGTCTCGGGTTCCCGGACCCGAGGAGAGTGGTCTCAGGGTACGGAAGCCCCAAGAGAGGGGTCTCGGGTTCCAGGAGCCACGGGCGAAAGGCCTCGGGGTACGCGAGGCCGCTGCGAGGAAGTCTAGTCGTCCGGGAGCGGCAGGAGAGTGGTAAGGGGGAACAGGTGCCCAGAAGAGGGGTCTCGGGTACAAAAGCCGCGGGCGAAGGGTCTCGGGTTTCCGGAGCCCACGGAGAGGGGCATGGGGGGGGAGCTGTGGCGCGGCACCTTCTGCCCAGACGAGACACTGAAGCCTCCCGCGCCAGCCCCGCCACCTACCAGCACCCCCACCGGCCCTCTTCTCCTCCTCCCTCCCTTCCTTCCGCCAGCCCCACGTCTCACCCCAAACTCAGCCACCACAGAGCAACCGGAACACGCCCACTGCGGCGCCACGTGGAGTGTGACCCCCGCGGGGTCAGCGCTGGGCCCCTCACTTTTCCTGGCGCAGGGCGCCGGCCGCGATCCCATTGGTTGGTGCCAACGGGGACGCCCACTCCAATAGGCTGGTGAGGAAAAGGGCGGGCTTCCGCTTTGACGGGGCGGAAACGCGGGGCCGGGGCGGGGCTCCAGAAGCCCTGGACAACAACAGGCTCGGGGTGGGCGGGGCACCCCGGCTTACTGACAGCCGAGCCCCAGGCTACTTATGGAGAGTCTGGCAGGGAGTCCTGAGGCTCAGGGCTTTGGGGGTCGGGGAGGCGAAGCACCTGGGTACATTCATGTAACAACCCAGTATGATAAAATGTCATGTGTCACCAAACAATGCAATGCAATTCCAATAAAAATCCCAACGGATCAGGAGCTCAAAGTGATCCTGCAATACAGCTGGTGGGAAGGAATCAAGAAAAGGCAAAACAATTTTGAAGAAGGGCAACGTGGGAAACTTGTTTTAGCAGAAATTAAGACAAATCTCCTTAATCAGGACTTTTAGACTTACTGTCTTAAAACTACAAGAAATAGGACAGTGTGTATTAGCACAGAGAGAGAGTCAAAGAGGCAAAGGAGTGTATAGAAAGCCAGGAATAGACACCTAGAAGGAGGACAGTCAATAAATCTTGTAATTATATGGGTAAGAAATTGAATCGCTACTTCGAATCACTCTGTACCTACCCCANGAGGACAGTCAATAAATCTTGTAATTGTATGGGTAAGAAATTGAATCGCTACTTCGAATCACTCTGTACCTACCCCAAGGCCATAGTAATGCTATATTTCTTTTACGAATTTGAAGTTTTACTTTTCCCACTTGTGCTTTTAATACACATGGTTTGAATTTTGTTCTGCTTTCAGTAGTAGAAACTGCTCACGATTAAAATGACCTCTGAATACCTTGTTAAAT